AATCACCCATATTCTCACACAGACTCAAGAATATGAACACATCCATCTCCTGACTGTCTCAAATCCAGCCCAAGTCACTCCAGTTCTCAGTCCACTTCTCCTTCCCATATAGATTCTTGCACACACATACTCAGGCACCCACATTGTTCCACAAATACAACCCTCCCATAGAGCCCAAAAAAATGCAGTCATAGGAACAGCAAGCACAAACTACAACCATGACCTCACCCACAAACTAACAGGCACACACAACCACAGTCACACTCACACATAGCTCACAGGTGAGCTTACATGCACACTCCCCATCAGGAATAGATACATGTATAGTCAGCTATGAACCTGCCATGCCAATGAGTTTCCGACAGATGGTACACACACAAACTTGCAAACTTGCAAGTCATGTAGTCATGTTCAAAATCATACATTAATCACAGCTAATACCACTACAGTTCACATATGCATCCATGCTCTAAACAACACAATCACCTTTACATAATAATAATTTCAAACACCTCACCTGACTGCCCTACACTGGTTCACACAGCCAAGCTCAGCTTGGGTTGACAGGGTGCAGAGACTGGGCCACCCATTTTGTTTTCTGCCCTCAGGAATCCTGATCTGGGGGCTCCTGCTCTCCATCTCCAGCTGTCTTGCCTACTATGAGGACCTTCTCACATGTTTCCAGGATCCTGAATACAAGGCCTTCCTTACCATAGCCCAGAATGGGCTCCATACCTCGCCACTGCCCAAGCGTGTGGTGATAGTGGGAGCTGGAATGGCAGGCCTGGCAGCTGCTAAGACCCTACAGGATGCAGGTCATCAGGTAAGAAGCCTTCAGAGGAGCCTTGGTCATAGGCCTCCAGTTTACAACTTTGGGTGGACAAAGACTGGGCACCGTTACCTTGAACAGCTGGATGACTGCTCATACCCACTGGTCTTCAAGCCTCTGCCCCTTAGTCATTGCTAACATTTGTATTTTCAAGGAACCAGAAGTGAAGAGCTATGCTTCCAGGTAAGGGCCTTGCCTCACTCAGGACCCTCTGGAGCAAACAGCCCCAGTGAGGTGATCCTGCATTTTCAGGGCCTCTGGGCCAGAGTCAATGCCCATGCAGAGGTGACAGGAGGGATGGAAAGAAGGGACAACACTCCCTAAGAATGACAGCCGCTTCTCTGAACTCCAGGTAACCATCTTGGAGACCAGTGACCACATCGGAGGTCGGGTGGTCACATTCAGGAACGAGGAAGAAGGCTGGTACAGTGAATTGGGGCCAATGAGAATCCCAAAATCCCACAAGTAAGTCCTATGCAGGAGGTGGAGCACATGGAGTGCAGGAAGAATGAGGAGGCAGGAGGGACCCTGCTGCCATCCTATCCAAGCGCTTTCAGATTCCCTGTGTCATGTGATCTGACCCAGTAAGGCAGGGCTGATACTTATTTCCCACTTAACAGAGAAGACCAAGGTCACAGGAAGCCCAGGGTCACACTAGAAGTGGTAGATCCCAAACTGACAATTAAAATCATTAACTGCCACCTCACCAAATTGTATAGTGTAAATATGGGCAGTTTCTTATGTGCCAAGTGTATCCAAGTAAGCTGTGAAATGATAGTACTTATTACTGTTAACAATACCTACCATTTATTGAGCACTAATTTTGTACTAGAATATACGCTGTCTCTACAAATATGAATTTTTTGCATTTTGTATACATTGAACCCAAAGTTTCCCTCCAAATACCAAAAGCGAAAACAATTGAACCAGCCCACACCAAGTCATTAAATATAGCCTCTGTCTTTATTTTTGAGTTCTACCAGTTAGAATTTCATAATTGCCTTAATTCTGGGAGGTCCTCACTCCCTACAGCCTTCAGAGGGAAAGAGAAGGAAGGAAAAAAAAACTAATGTCCACAGCGTTAAATGAGATTAGAGTTGAACAGGCAGTTAGTTTTGAGCTTCCTGAGCACAAGATTACACTGATTTTACTGGACGTAGTTTCAAAAGGAATAAGAATGGGAACCATGCTACCTTTGTCTCTGCTCCAGGCTGATCCACACCTATATCAAGATGCTTGGCCTAAAGCTAAATAAATTCATCCAACACAACAACAACACCTGGTACCTTATCAATGGACATCGCTATCGTGCCTGGGAGGTCAAGGCTAATCCGGAGCTCTTGGGCTACTCCATGAGCCCCACAGAGAAGGGGAGGAATGCTGAGGACCTCTTCTACCAGGCCATTATGAAGGTGCCTACTGCCTTTCCCAACTAGGACCAAGAAGGAAAAGGCTGGTGCCTAAGGTCACCTAGCAAGTTAGAAGAGGATTTAGGTCGTCTGGCTCCTACTTGATGCTCTTGTGATCGATCCCTCTTTCTTCAACATCTACTAAGAATGTCACTGTCCTCAACTACACCCCAGCCCCTCTTCTGTCCCTGAGTGGCCCGGTGGCCACAACTCAGTCAGCAGCAGTATAAACAGAATTAGATGAGGCAGTCCTTGCTAATGAAGCATTCTTCACCTTAAATTGTATATCTGTGTGTCTGTGTGTATATGGTCAGGTGTGTCTGGGCACGTGTGCATGTATGTAGAAACCAGTAGTTAACATCAGGTCTCTTTCTCAATTGCTGTCTACCTTCTTTGTTTTGTTTTCAGGCAGAGTTTCTCACTGAACCTGGAGCTCGATGATTTAGCTAGAATGACTGATCAGCAAGCCCCAGGGAGTCTTCTAATCCCTCTACCCCAAGCTCTGGCATTCAGGCATGCAGCACCAAACCCGACTTTTACATAGGTGTTTAGGGTATGAACGCAGGTCTTCATGCCTGTGCAGCAAGCACTTTACCAACTGAGCCTTCACCTTAAATTTTAGCCTTGAAAAGCTGTGTCATTTTCTTTTGAAGTGCTGGGGTTCAAATCCAGAGCCTTTTGCATGCTAGGCAAATATTCTACAAGACGTTTAAGTCAGATGTGGTAGTGCACACTTTTAATCCCAGTTCTTGGGACATGGAGGTAGAGGATCAGGGATTAAAGACCAGCCTCACCTTACATAGTGAAGCCAGCCTGGGGTATGTGAGATCCTGTCTCAAAGAAAAAAAAAGGGGGGGGGGTCTTTGAATGAAGAAGGGATACTTGGGGAAGGAGGAATATGTGGGAGCTCCTGGAGCAAGCCTTCCCCTTATTTTCACATCTTCCCACCTCCTTGTCCCCACCTCTCCAAGGGACATCCAGAAAATATCTAAAGTCAGGTGAAGGACCTGTTTCCCTGTGGCTGCCTTCTCTACAGCAGGCTAGGTGCTCTTGACCACCAGGAGGCCCGACTTGATGGTGGTATCTCTCTTCCCTTTCTGCAGCTCAGACAACATGTAAAGACATTCAACTGCAGCTACCTCCTGTCTCTTTACGACTCTTATTCCACCAAAGTAAGTGAAACAAGAGGCCCCAGGATGGAGGTGGGGTGATGAGCTCTGTGCTCAGGCGAGGCCCCTGGGCAGCACCCTGCCTACAGAATGCTCTCCTCCCATTGCCAAAGCCTTTGCCTCCCTCAAGCCCAGCCCCACCCTGGCCTGCTCCAGGCCCCTGCTGAAGTCCCTTTCTATATTCCAGACTCTCCAGCCCACACTTCCATCTATGGCTTCCCCTCCCTACAGGATTACCTGCTGAAGGAAGGCATGCTGAGCAGAGGGGCAGTTCAGATGATCGGGGATATGATGAACGAGAATGCTGGATACTACAAGTCCCTTCTGGAGTCCCTAAGGATGGCTAGCATCTTCTCCAACAGGGACAAGTAAGACTGATCTGAAGCCAGGATGAGTGTCCCCGCCCCACTACTGATTTGTTGGGTATTTAC